GCGGAAAAGGAAAAATGAGACAATTACAGTGGGACGGAGGAAATATTATTGATGTAGAACCCCCATTTTTTTCATAACTCACTTTTTAACAATATTCTTATCAAAACCCTAAAATTAAAGATAAAGGATTTAGAAACTTGTATGGTAACATTGAAATTGACTGAATCGACTGAATCTGCTGAAATTGATGAAATCCTGGATGAAGCGGATGAATTGACTAAGCCTACATAATAGTGAAAAATTGATATTTAAATATATTTTATTAATAAAATAAATAGAACATTACATGAAAAACAGCTAAAACGGTTTTCTACAGTAACAACTACAGTCAATTCAACCAAAGAGTAACTCCAATCCTATATGTTTTGTTCATTATATAATTTAGCGCGCAAAATCAAAAGTTATAACAGCAATAGCTTTCAAGCCTCAGTCCCAAAAGAATTTGGGGTCGACTAACATGAATCGATCCATGATATCAGTGCGAAATAGAGAAGAAAGATAAAGGGAAAAAAGGTAAGATAAAATGGATAAGATAAACATAAATTTAAGATAACAAAAATATAAGAATATAAGAAAGATAAAAGATAAAAAGATAAATGAGCATAAACACGATTATTCCTGTCCAGAATTTCCGGACAGGAGCCCCATCTGGCCTCCTCCATTTGGGGGCCTTCCCGGTGGTATTGTTTGCTCAATTTTTTTGTGTATGTTCTTCATCAAATCTAGTACATCCATACCAAATTGTAGCAAAATATTCAATCGGGAAGGTCGTCAAATGATTTTTGCAAGTTAACTGGTCCGGAAGATGTATTTTCCGGACCAGTTAACTTGCTAAAATCATTTGACAACCTTCCTGATTGAATGTTTTGCTGAAATTTGGTATGGGCGAACTAGACTTGATGAGTAACATACACAAAAACTTTGAGCAAAAAATACCACCGGGAAGGCCCCCAAAAGAAGGAGGCCGGACGGCGCTCTGGTCAGGAAATTCCTGACCGGAAGATTACTCTGAGCATAAAAATGTAAAAGATAAAAATAACATAAGAACATAAAAAGATAATAAGAATAAACGATAAAAGAAAATGAGATAGAGGAAAAGATATAAAAGAGATCACTCGTCCACACAAATGTGCGCCCTCCATCTTGTTCTCTCCAAAGCCATATGATGTGAGTTTTCTCGCACATAAAATAGATAGTAGTAAAGGGTAGAAGTACGAGTATCGTCTCCACAGTGATAGACAAAAGTGAATTAAGGATCAAATAAATTCAAACAGAAATACAATAAAAGCAATTGTGCGAGATTGGTGGTTTGGAAAATAAACCAATGCAAACTAACAAAAAAATAGATTGGTGTTTTCTAATTAACGACGAAGGGAACAGAGATTGATTCCGGGGTAACAAGATTTATGGCCAATCAGGCTTAATTACATGAAATTAATTTAATTGAGCAACGCTAATAATCAATACTAAGTTCTTACCGCTCTCGCGGCGTGGTGTACAATAATTTAGTGGACCAGTCTGTTCTCTCATGCGGTAGGTATCTAAAATTATTGTCAAGACCAACGAGCGTACGACCCCTTAATCGTTACTAATGTCTTATCGAATGATTAAGTGTGTGAAGGTGTCCTAGAATAAATTAGGTCTCTCTTAATTTATTCTACAAGCAATTATAATCCTAGCTGCAGTTCTAGGTTATTTAAATAACATTCATGTAATTGATCCGTCATGAATTTAGCCATACATCATTATTAACCCCTTCATTAATCCCAAATCCCTAATTAAAACTACTCACAATTCATAATTGATAAATCAACAGAATTGGGATGAACAAAAATGATTGTCATTAATTAAAAGTAGGAACTTACAAATAATCCAGGGTCTGGAACAAATAAGTGGAAAAATAAGTAGAAACTCGTCCCTAGGCCTCTCTCTAAATTCTGTAACCCCAAAATAGGGATATGGAGGCCTTATTTATAGAAAACAGACGGACTTGAGCTTAACTGGGATTTTTGGAGGCAGGCACGGCGTGCCTGACGACCGTGCCTCCGGAGCACATTGCGCGTCTCGCGTCCAGGCATGGCGTGCCTCCCTGGCAGGCACGACCGTGCCTGACCTCCAGTGGCTGGGTCGCTCTTCCTTCTTCAGGCACGCCTGCCTATTCGCCAGGCACGACCGTGCCTAGGCAATTTCTTCGTCGGGAGTGTTTTCCACGCATGCACGGCGTGCACAACCGTGTGTGCCCTTTCCTTCATCTTTTTACTTCGTTTCTTGCTCCAAATGCTTCCGTGATCGATCCAAAGGCTCTTTCTTCATCAAATCATCATCGTGAACCTCCTGATGGCCTCCAAAACTCTCGAATCACTCTTGAATGCTCATCAACTCATCGCGATTGCTTCTCAAGCGTCGGTGTCAGACTCTAAATTCCTGATATTGACTCCAAAAATATCAAAACTCGAACCAATGCCTGGTAAACATAATTTGAGATAAAATTGAGACTTATAACACCTTAAAGCTAGGAAAACCATCAAAAGCCGATCCCAACACGCATCAAATGCGTGTTAAAATATGAACTTATCAGATTCCTCCACACTGAAGCTTGTGCTTGTCCTTAAGCAAACTGAACAACGAGACTTACGATAATCACCACACGGAATTAAAATTATTAGCATGCACAGGTAGTTACAGGGATACTCACAGAATAGACAGACTAAATCAAGAAAATTCTTCCCTAAACTATATCTTTGTACTCTAGCTAAAATTCATGACAAAATTATTCACAACATCCTTGAAGTAGTGACAGCCTACGCTAATAAACTAGCTACTGACCAGAAGGACTTGTCAAGGCAGTGGTGAATGGTGAATGGTAAAGAATAAATAGTCTCTTTCTTTAAGAGTTTGTAACACCCTAACAAAGACTCAATGCATTCAGGAATTTCAGGGCTATTCTTAGGATCAAGGAGTTCAGTAGGACACAAATTGGGAACAATTATCTAAACCTATGCAAGGAGTAGATGTGGTGTACAACTAAGCTAAAATGTAACTGCACATTGGTGTTGTGACGTATACTTGAAGTACGCGAAGGACTAATGCTAATTTTGCAAAAGCCTTCAAGTTCATTTAATTTAGTTCAGTTTTTGTTGTCATGTTGGCACGATAACGCCATTTGTTTCGAAAGATCCCCTAGTCTCATCTTATTGTGCAAAACACTTACGCTTTTTGACCGGGTGTCCCATTCTCTTTTTCGCAGGGTAAGAGGTCTAGCTAATATTAATTTTTTCAATTTTCAGATTTTTACTACGCATCACCCCATTCTAATCTCGGCCTCACCAAGGAAAATTAGCAATTAAAGTTCATTTAAACAGGTGAGTCCATGCCTACAATGCAATCCCCGAAAGTATTAAATTCCTAAAAAATGACTTCTCTTACCCCATTTGGGGCATAGGAACAGTGCCAAAAACGACTTCTACAAAAACTCCCTAAACTTAGCAAATTAATCCTTTTGTTCCCTAAGCACCAAGACTTTGTCAGAAATATTCACGAGTAAGGAAACACAGACCATTTGACTGTGGAACTCAATTAATTGGGTAAAGAATAAAATGGTCAGGGTCAAAGTGGCTTCTCCTAAAGGACTTATTCAGGTGGGGTGGATAATTAATCAACTCAATATGTGACTAATGTATTCATCCTCTCAATAACTAGATTATAGTGCAAGTATATTAAGTCTAAACACTTCAAAGATGTTCTAAAAACATGGTCAAAACGCTAGCCAGCTCACAAGGACAAAACTTAAAGAAAAAATTTCAAAATTTTTGACATGACTTTCTTATGAATATACAACTAACACCTGTGCATGCTAACTACTCTAATAATCCCACGTAACAACTTCTGCCCGAATGCCCAATTCACACCCCTACACTTAAACTTCGGCATCGCCCTCTATGACCAAACATACACTATGCACAAGGGGGTAAAGGGGAAATGGTCACGCGTGCTCAAGTCAACTCAAGTCAATCATTACAAACATGCAAATAGAAAGGTCATGGAAACTTCCCTAGGGGCGTTGTTCGGTGCAAAATTGTATTGGGTCAATGTAAATCATCCCAAAAGAACACTTCGAGCTGCAAAACAAAACACACGAACACAAAAACACACAGAGAACACCCCGTTTTTTTGTGATTTTTGGGAGTTTTCTTGAAAGCAATCAAACAAAAACGAAAGTGCAGAAATAAGCTTGGGTTGCCACCCAAGAAGCGCTATTTTTAACGTCGTTTGCCCGACGATACCTTTTAACGTCGTTTGCCCGACGATACCTAATAAGCTCTCAAATAACAAAGACTGTAGTGGGACCCTAATCAATTTAGGAGTGAGCATTCGGTCGGTCGGTCAAATAACCGACCGATAACTGATAACCGACCATGTTTTTTCACTCTAATAACCGACTGAAAACATCACTATAACTGACAGAAAAATGTAGTTCAGTTTCGAATTTTCGATCGGTAACCGAATAACCGACAATAACCGACCATATAAATTTTTTAGGTATATTTTTTTCAAAAATTTGAATGCTTTAAATAAACATATTAGAAAAAACATTTGATACACAATGGATGAAAATAATTGATTTTTACACTACAAAAAAATGAATGAAATAATTGATCATATATAAAATGCTTTTTCTCCATTCATGAAATAAATAAGAAAAAATGAAATAAATTATCTCATGATAAAATTAGTTTTTTTATGCTGTTGGTGGCTTTTCTTGTGCATGAGTGTCATTTTATCTCTTTTGGGTCAACCTATACTAAATACATGAAATTTATTAAAATATAAGGGATTTCCTTAAATATTACTATCGTGCTATATATTAAAGTAAACTTAAATATGACTAAAGTTAACATGAGTATACCATTCATGTTTACTATAATATAAAATTGAACGCAATCATGCACATTAAAAGTACAATTATAATCATTAAAGTACGAAAAGACATATTTGTATCCACGATATTCAATTTGTTCATATATTTGACATTATTTCTTAGAGTAATTATGATATGTTATTAAGTAAAACATCATAGCATACATGAAGTAAATGCAAATGTTTATACAGAGTAGACTATATTTCGGTTTTCGGTTAACCGACCGATAACCGACTAAAATAACCGACCGTTAACCGAATAACCGACTTCTTCTAATATGTAATAACCGATGACCGATCGATAACCGACTTTTTCGGTCGGTTCGGGTATCGGTTTTCGGTTTTATCGGTTTTGTCGGTTATTTGCTCACCCCTACTAATCATCAAAGTATCCAACTTTCCCTCAACAAATGCCATTAGGTGGTGCAAATTCTTAAACTCTTGAAACCACATAGGAATCATTCGGTCTTCATGAATATCATCAGCAAACAACAGTAGAATCACCCTCACATCCTCATGCTCAAAGTGCATCACAAGCACATCCTCTCCTCGCTCAAATGTATTGTGAAAATTCGGAGCGCCTACTATTGACTCAATATCACTCTCAATGAAGGCATCCCAACTCCTATTGTCATTGCTCTTATTAATATCTTCCCGGAAATTGTGATCATTTTCAACACAAAAAGGAATATCATCATCAAGGAGTGAATCCAAGAAATCCAAATCTGGAATAACGTAAAAGTGGATCGCTACATGTGTACAAGAGGGACTTCAAATCATGTGTACAAGTGGATCGCTCCAAATCTTGTATGTGGAGCGGGACTTCTTCATTATGATCAGCATTCTTCTCGATATTACTCTCTTGACACTTATGATTATCTTCTACCAACTCATCTTCAATACTCAAGACTACTCCAATGGCTTCATCAACGTCATCACTGATCTGCTTCATGCCCTCATCAGGTGTTGAGAATGATGGTAAATCAAACGGCTGAAGAGTTTCTATATGAAAATCACGGTGATCCATGTCTTCATCAATTTCGGATTGTACTGTTTGAAACTTTTGCGTGCATTGTGTGGAATCTTGATGCACAAACTCGAGACTAATCTCTTTTTGTTCAAGTTCAAATAGAGGCAAGACTTCAAAAGCATCTAGAAGTGTATCATCCATCATATTCCCACCACCGCAGTCTGACTCACTCTCATGATCATCCCTATTTGTCTCCTCAGGTTGGGCTTCTGCCGGCTGACCCGCCACTCCCGATTAGATTCTGGCGTCATTCTGTATGGTCTTTTGGAATGATGCAGTCGTTTGCATAAACTCCTTGATTATTTCTTCCAGGCTGATGTGAGTTTGCTACCATTCAGGCATCTTATGTTCCGCCTTCTCCAGTAGATTTGTCACGCCCCAGACCGCAATCCAAGCGCGTGTACAACCGCCGTATAATTAAGTGACGTCACCCGCGAGTCAACCTCACTTAATTACACAAGGCGTTCGAGAAATAATCCATCCATACTCAGTAGTAAACATACATAACAACATCACATTAAAACCAATGAATAGCGGAAATATTCAACGGTAAGTCATGAGCCACAACCGGCCAACAACATGGGCATGCAAGCCCCAAAAATAGTTTATAGTAAAACAAATATCCATGAGCAAGTGTTCGGTAGTTTGAAAGAAAATAAGGAAGCACGAACCACGTCTTCCTGATATGATATCACCCGTGAGAAGGTGCAAGTAGCAAGCCCTAGCTTCAACCTGAAAATGGTGGGCCCCCCCGAAGGGGTCAGTACAAGTACCGAGCGAGTAGCAGGCTAAATATAGAATAACTAGTGTTTCAAGTATAAGACCCAAACATAGGGTGATACTTAAATAATTAGTCTTTTCCCCCAAGTTATGAAATACTTATTAGTATATATATACTTGGAAAATATCCGATCCGTAGATCACCGTTTTATTTGGGAAAAATAGTAATAGCCAATATTCTTGACTAAAAACCCCAACCCACCCATATACCTATGAGTGTATAGGACTCCTCCTTGTCCCTATTTCAATATCATAATCTATGAGTTTTGAGGATCATAATCCTTGGATACTCCACCAGTTTGTGAGTGTTAAGGACTCATAAGTCCTAGGGTCCTCCACCAAGTTTTGAGTGTTAAGTACTTTTAAGTACTAGGGTCCTCCACCAAGTTTTGAGTGTTAAGTACTTTTAAGTACTAGGGTCCTCCACCAAGTTTTGAGTGTTAAGTACTTTTTAAGTACTAGGGTCCTCCACCAAATTTTGAGTGTTAAGTACTTTTAAGTACTAGGGTCCTCCACCAAATTTTGAGTGTTAAGTACTTTTAAGTACTAGGGTCCTCCATCAAAATATTTTCCTATGATCAACCTCCTATCAACCTAGATAAAGTCTATATCATACTTAGTTACTCATAACTAATTCAATACATAAAGCTTATGTATCACAATCCATGCAAAGCCATGCAATTATATAAATGTATAATTAACTAATATCAACCGATATTAATTAATCCATTATCCGTCGGTCAACGTTGTCGTTGACCGCCATTTCAAGTCTTACACTTATCAACTTAATCATCATGTAATTAAGTTAATAATATTCATTGGTGCATCTTATACATTTCAAACAAATATGTATTTTATATAATTCTTCATATCATATTCCATGCACAAACAATTTATTTCTTTCATACAATCTTAACCCTATTGGCTAATCACATGTTTAAATATCTTTTAAACATCATTATGAACTCATATAACATTTATTTAGGTAATCTCATAACTAACCCAATAGTTATAAGATATTAAGCCGTCCACTCACCTTGAACTAGCGTTATGAAGTTCTACCCTTCTTGGTTGAACTCCGGTGAAACTCCGGTGACTTTTGGTCAACTCCGGCGACTTTTCCAACTTTGTGAAATCACTTGAAATACCCTTTACAAGTGCCTAACAAGGTTTTATAATCATAAAACCCATATTAATACAATTAGCCTCTAAAAGGTTATTTTCCGGTGAACCGGTCGTTTTGGCTTCTAAGTTCGTTTTTGGACGGAGAACCACCTTCCAACCCATGGATCCACCCTTATAACATATGGAACCATAATAAAGGTTCTTCACATGATATATACTTCATATGGTAGAAGAAAAATAAAGGAAAAGTTAATATAAGGTCATTACCTTTATTATTCACACTTTTCCTAGATTTTTCCTTCTCAAATCTTCCTCCTTGGATCTCTATGGCTTGAGCTCGAGTTGCAGCAATGGAGAGTGTTTTGAGAGCTCAATTTTTTTCTTCTTGGAGGGGTTGGTCGAGCACAAGGATGAGGAAAGAGGTAGGAAGTGTCCTTCTTTGTCTTAATTGACAAATAATGTGTGTGGGTGAGGTCCACACCTCAAATGATCACATTCCAATCAATTTAGCTTCATCCTCACATGTTGTGCGGCCACACAAGTCCCAATTGATACCCAAAAACGTGGGGTGGCCCCCACTCATGTGGGAGGTCATCCCAACTTGTCCCGAAATGTATATTCGACCCCGAAAGTTGTATTTTTCGGACTGTTTTAAATATATTTTATTTTATCGGGTAAAATAAAATTCATAACTCACTCTCAATCATAACACCCCTTTGAAATAATATATATTTCAAAACTTTAATTTGGAAGTCTTCGAAATTCATTTTCGGGCTGTTATCCGTTAAATTGTCGGTACCGGTAATTGGGCTTCTTTTGACCTACCGGTCCACCCCAGGCCTTCCCATGGACCGAATAAGCTATTCACCACTATATAAATATTATTTCGACCCATAAGAATAATTTATGTGATCTCGGGAATATCGGGCGGCCCCCGCTCCCAGTGTGGGTCCCACGTGCAATTCACTATTCACGCGAAAGAAATAATAAAAATTTACAACTTCGTAAATTCATTAATCCTTTAATAAAATTCAATACATTATTTACATAAAAGTAAATATATTTGGGAACGGTGTTACAAGATTATATAGCTCATTACTCGATAAGGATGTAGGACTGACTAGAACATTTGTGTTTATATAATGTGGGGAGGAAGAAATGGAGTATGTAGTTGCCTGGTAAGGATGGTCATATGGAGGAACGGGGCAAAGACATAAATGGTGACCTCCTCCGCAGAAGGAACAAATGCTATTTTTAGGAAAGTAATCAGACAATTCCTCGGGAGTTTTAGTTTGAACAAGATATTCAAGAATGAAGCCTGGTTTTAAATAATCCTAGCTGCAGTTCTAGGTTATTTAAATAACATTCATGTAATTAATCCATCATGAATTTAGCCATACATCATTATTAACCCCTTCATAAATCCCAAATCCCTATTTAAAACTACTCACAATTCATAATTGATAAATCAACAGAATTGGGATGAACAGAATTAATTATCATTAATTAAAAAGTAGGAACTTACAAATAATCCTAGGGTCTTGAACAAATAAGCGGAAAAATACGTAGAAACTCGTCGCTAGGCCTCTCTCTAAATTCCGTAACCCCAAAATAGGGATATGGAGGCCTTATTTATAGAAAACAGATGGACTTGAGCTGAACTGAGATTTTCGGAGGCAGGCACGGCGTGCCTGACGACCGTGCCTCCGGAGCACATTGCGCGTCTCGCGTCTCGCGTCCAGGCACGGCGTGCCTCCCTGGCAGGCACGACCGTGCCTGACCTCCAGTGGCTGGGTTGCTCTTCCTTCTTCAGGCACGCCTGCCTATTCGCCAGGCACGATCATGCCTAGGTAGTTTCTTCACCGGGAGTGTTTTCGACGCATGTCCGGCGTGCTTGCCCTTTCCTTCATCTTTTTACTTCAATTCTTGCTCCAAATGCTCCCGAATGCTTCCGTGGTCGATCCAAAAGTTCTTTCTTCATCAAATCATCATCATGAACATCCTGGTGGCCTCCAAAACTCTTGAATCACTCTCAAATGCTCATCAACTCATCCCGATTGCTTCTCAAGCGCCGGTGCCGGACTCTAAATTCATGACATTGACTCCAAAAATACTAAAACTCAAACCAACGCCTAGTAAACATAACTTGAGATGAAATTGAGACTTATAACACCTTAAAGCTAGCAAAACCATCAAAAGCCGATCCTAACACGCATCAAATGTGTGTTAAAATACGAACTTATCACCACTCTCATCCAACTCAAAAAGACGCATATCAAATCTGATTCATCTAATCCATATCTGTTTGGGTCTTCCTCTTCCTCTTCTCCTTGCCTCTTCTCCCCACCTCTCAATTCGTCTAACAGGTGCATCACTCAGTCATCTACGCACATGACCAAACCACCGCAAAACGAGATTCCTACATCTTATCGATCTTCTATAATTGATGCTCCCACGTTTTAACTAATTATCTCATTCCTCAACTAACCTTTTCTGGTATGTTCACACATCCAACACAACTTACGCATCTCTTGTAGCACCCCGACCCCGCAGAACCCAAGGTAGTTACTGCGACACACCCTCCAGAACTCTAGTATTGCCCTCACATACCACCACAAGCCTTTAACATGCACTTTGTCCTCACTCGTGCGCGCCCTAAGAAACTTCACATGGGGTCACCCATCCCAAGACTACTCCCGTTCAAGCATGCTTAACTTGGAATTCTTAGCTGATGAGCTAAGAATCTTTCCCTGCTAAGTGCTCGCCCGATATCCAAGAGATCAGCACACTGTCGCAGGGTTACTCTGATACCACCTGTAACACTCCGGCCCTGCAGAACCCGAGATAGTTACTGCAACACACCCTCCAGACCTCTAGTACTGTCCCCACAAACCACCACAAACCTTTAACACTCACTTTGTCCTCACTTGTGCGCACCCATCCCAAGACTACTCCCATGCAAGCACACTTAACTTGGAGTTCGTAGCTGATGAGTGTTGGAAAGATGTGTTAAAATTGCATTAAATGGTCAATTTGGGGCAATATTTTGAGTGGGGTCCACTTCCGATTTGGGTCGGGTCAAAGTGGTTTCAGATTCCCCTTGTTAAGAGCTACAATTCGATATATTGTACACTCAAAACAGATAACAGATAAATGAGAAATTGATTCTCGAAGTCCACTTGTAGGAATGGAGGAAAATTAGGAAAATGAAGTGATTCTAGTGTGATATTTCCCACCCCGGAAAACCCAAGGGATTTTCACCCCCTTATAAAGTGAACCCTTTTTGAAGGAGTTAAGATTCTTAGGTGCAAAGGCTCTCTTCGCGCGCAGGGGGTGCCCGTCGAATCCCGAAAATGGAGAAGAAGAAAAACCGTGACTTGCGTGCACGGGCGACCTGCAGACACAAATGTCATCTGAAAATCGTATCTTTCAAATATACTTCTCCCATCCAGGTAATATGTACCTAACCACAAAATCATCCATTCGCTTTTGCGACTTAGGGCTCAATATGAGAGGGTCAAACTTCACCACCCAATGGATTTCCACGGTGTGGGTTATGGGGAGATGTCGCAGGTGTCAAAGGTTTTGGGAGATGTCAACTGTTGGGATAATGGGCCAGGTCCAAGACTATTGGCCCGTTACGCCCAAGCTTTGGCCCGACCAAGCTCAGAACACAGCCCGGCTTGCGGATATTGGTCCGAGATTATTTATTTACATATCGGGCTGGCTGGCCCATTAGCGTCAATGTTAGTTGATAAATCGGGCCAAGCCCATGTAACACTTAATTGGTGGGCTATTGTGTATGCCTATAAATAGGCCACCAACCCCTTGTATTCTGGGAAGCCATTCTCACTATACTGAAATGCTGCCGAATTTTCTACTCAACATATTTTCTACCAACAATGGTGCTTTCATTGAGAGCCTATCTCTCATTTTATTCGGTAGGAATTTGGGAAGATTTTGACAGCAATCGAGTGAATTGGTTCCAAAATTATACAAAATCAATCAACAATTTCTACGAAAGCTAACAAAATTCAAAAATGGCATGGATGTTTACAAATTTGGATCTGTAAATTCCAAATCCAGGGAATAGGAGGAAGGATGACATCGTTGCTTCGGCTAGGCAAGAGAGGAGGTCTCTCTTCCATCTCCACCTTGTTCACAACGGCGGTTTCTCACCATCCCATCGCTGCTGCCCCCTGCAGGTCTGGTGAACCCCGACAAGTTTTCCGTCATTAACGGCGGGGCCCAAAGCCGCAACAGTCGCCATCAAGGATGACCGCCATCAACAAGCTTCTACAGTCGCCATTAATGGTGCGCTCGACCCTCAGTTCGAAGCTCGTTTCTCCGGCAAAGCAGCAAGCAAGGAATCTCCCTACTGAGTTCGCGCTCAGGCGAGGGTGGCTGCTACAGCCCGATGATTTCCAAACTGCTTCCCCGTATTCTGGCCCCTATTCGTTCTCCTCGACCTGCATCTGCGGCGTCCTCTTCCACACACTGGTGACATGCACGCAAGGGCAGCAGGATTGGTTAGTTAATAGAGTTGGGTCCTGCTTGGATTCAAAAGGATGGTCCTCTGCTCTAATTAGCGAGATGGGTCTGACCCGTGCCCTGTCGAGGTGGTCTCTCGTTGGCTCGTTGCACATCCTGGCACCACTATTCCTGAGCGGGCCCAGTTCTTCCCTTGAAGACAGCTGCAAGTTAAAGGGAGTGATTGAAGCCGGGAAGATAGGTTTTGACGAGGAAACCAATTCTCTCAGGCTGATCCCACCAGAACCATCCACTGGTACGCCCGGGGTCGGTACGCCGTACGCGAAGCTTGGTGGCACGGGCGCAACCCGGCGACGTGAACCTTCGATATCCATCAGGAGGCCCGTCTCTGCTGGGAGGTCCGGATGCACAACCTTGTCCTGGAGCGCAAGCCCGGGGTCGGTACGCCGTACGCCGAAGCTTGGTGGCACGGGCTCAACCCGACGACGTGAACCTCCGATCTCCATCGAGAGGCCCGTCTCTGTCGGGAGGTCCGGATGCACAACCTTGTCTCGGAGCGCATGTTCGGGGTTGGTACGCCTGTATGCTGAAGCTTGGTGGCACGGGCTCAACCCGGCGACGTGAACCTCCGATCTCCATCGAGAGGCCCGTCTCTGCCGAGAGATCCGGATGCACAACCTTATCCTGGGGCGCAAGCCCGGGGTCGGGATGCCCGTACGCCCGGACTCCCGTACGCCCGGACTCCCGAATGCCCGGAGTCCCGTACGCCCGGACTCCCGTACGCCCGGACTCCCGTACGCCCGGACTCCCGTACGCCCGGACTCCCGTACGCCCGGACTCCCGTACGCCCGGACTCCCGTACGCCCGGACTCCCGTACGCCCGGACTCCCGTACGCCCGGACTCCCGTACGCCCGGACTCCCGTACGCCCGGACTCCCGTACGCCCGGACTCCCGTACGCCCGGACT